AACAATCTTCTCCTGTTGTTGTTCGAAGATAAGTTTTGATTCTTCTCAATGTCGAAAAGCTTCTGTCGTCATCACTGTGATGCCATGATACTGTGAGAGAGAGCGAGAATGAGAGATAAACAACAGAAAAAAACATACAGTGCATAATCAGTCGGCTTAATTGTGACATTCACTATTATTGAAAAAAGAACATTCTCTTGTTCTATTCTTTCTCATCTATGTGAATAAGCATTATAAATCACATCATAAAGTTCATCATTCTGAAAATGACTATGAGATTTGTTGTGCTGCAATAAAAGGTTCTTCAAAAATTACAACTAATGAAAAATTTTAGGTGTGGCAACTGCCACACCTTGCCACTGTGGTGGCCCGCCGATGCGTGGAGATACGGACTCATGTTGCAATAATCGACAGTTAACTGCGATTTTTCCGTTGTTTTTTTTTTAAATTTTACTGCATGAATATTTTTGAATTTTTAGAGAAATACTAGATTTCATTGCGCCCTTTTTTCTATGACCGTCTGTATCTATTACGCATTGGCTATTTTTGCTTAGTTTTCGAGTTTGATTATTTATGAAAGATGACGTCACAAATTTAGTCATTAGTTAGATGACACACGTAAACGAAAACAAATGTATTGTCACCTGACCTAATGTATTGCAACATATTAAAATCGACTTTTTTTGAGTAGCAATCAACCACTTTAAGACGGAAAATATTAATTCAATAGGAAAATTAAAAAAAAATCAAACTTAATAAAAAGGAAGTAAACGTCTCGAGCAGTCAGTTTTGGTAAAAAATTCACGACATGGAGAAACAAGTCCATAAAGTCTTTTTTTCTTTAAATTAAGCTTAAGAGAAATTTCTAGCGAATTCAACTGTGTATCATTTGATTAGAAAGTTATGATTTTCTATTATTTCTCCACTTGAATATTTGCAACGAAAACAGTATCGAAAAAATTTTGTTCTATTCAATATGTCGATGTTGTCATCAATATTGACTAATGTATTTTTATTCGAAATAAATATATTTATGTGTCTTTTGTTTTTCTTTATGAAGTATCAATTATAATGATAAAATTCATAAGCAAATTTTATTTAGAGTTTTTCAATATACGAACAAACGTTTCAGTTTGATAAGTTAAACAATTTATTATTAGATTGTTATCTATCCATCTGTAAATTTTCATGTATTAAATAATCTTACTTCAGTTAATCAAAGCTCTACTTTAACAGAAAATAATAGATATCAGAAGATTGTTATCCCTAATTTCCGAGAATATATATGAAGATATACTGTCAGTAGTGTTTTATATTAATCATCGTACACTATTCCATTAACTGCTAATGACACGATACACAGAGAAAAAGCTGACATTTGCATGTCGTCAATAATGCATTCTATTTCTGTTGTTGTTGTTGTTGTTGTTTTTTATTGAATAAAAGAATGTCATTTATAATTCATCAATCATTCTTTTCCTCACCGGATATTTCCAACGTTTTGTTTTTGAATACTTGTTTTTTTTTTATTATCAAAGCAATTGAGATTCATATTAAATTAAATATTAATACAGGTTGTTCTTTTTTGTTTTGTTTTATATTTTCTTCTTGTGTATAATGAGAAAGTAAAACAACAGATGTATTTTAAAAATTAAACAAACTGTACATATACAAGCTCATGTGAGAATCGTGTTACACTTTCAAAAAAAAAATCAATGAGATGGATACAAAAAAACAAAAGAAAAGAAATAGAAAAGTGAAGACGATATTTATTCAGAACATATATTATGAGAAATCAACGAAAGACTTACGGGTAAAAGACAAAAGCAAAATTTTATATTTCAAATGGAATGTAAATGTTAGCTAATTCATCATAGTCTTGTTATAACTAGGTCAGATTCATCGAGTTTGTTATCGTCAGAAATGTTAACAGTTGGTATTGTCGATCGTTGATACTGAACAACCGTTGGTGTTTTTTCATGATGATTCATTGTTTCATTAATAAACGAACCTGAACCAGTTCGATTACGAGTTAAATGATCTTATAAAAGAAAGCTTTTTTTTCGGATATTTTTTTTATATATTAAATTACCTTTTCTGAGTAATGTTGGCGTTAAAAAGGCTTTTATTGTTGCATTAGAATTATCATTATTAGGAGTTATACCTAACAATCGTGCTTTCCAACGTTGTCTATGCCCATTTGATGTTGTTGTTAGAAATGGAAGATTAAGTCTTTTAGTTTTTGCATCATCTGTTTGAATGTAACCTAATGCACAATAAGATTTAAATAAATGAAGACTTGTATCAAAAAATCGAGAATCATTAGTAAAGATAGCTTGAAAATGTTCTCGGTTTTCATAGAGAACATTTGATGAATCGTTTGGAATGTCCATTGGTGATAATGTTGTCATTGTAGTTGTTGATGATGAAGAATCAATACTGATGGAATGTAATAGAGACATTGTTTTTAGATATTAATATTAAATATAATAAAATATTCTCTTTTGAATAATGAATGATCATACTATATTCTCGCCAGATCAACCACTATTTTTAGTAATGAATAAATGTCGCAATCCGTCTTTTATTTTAATTAAAATATGAAATTTATTTTTGCACCTATTACTTAGCAGGTGGCCTAGATGACGCTAATTGACAAACCCATAAAAGATCAATGAAGTATTCAATTGACATAGAAAATATTGAAAATGTACCTACTAATGAAATGTTAAAGAGGGTCAAATTTTCTTTTCTTCTCGAAACAGAATAATAATCTCGCAAATTAGTGCCTTTAATTGACTGTTAATAGACTTTGTAATAGAAAAGACGATTCATTGAAAATAAGTTATGAACCATAAACAGCGTAAGAGAACTTCTCCACATTGACATTTCTGTTAATAAGATAAAAATCTAAGATGAATAGTCTTCGAAGAGTAAGTTTTGACATACCATTTCATGCTATATAATCTAATATCTCAAATGAATAATCAAGAAATCTCTCGTCATAAAAAAAAGATTTTGATATAATATCTAAAAAAAATTTGTTCAATACTGATTTCACAATTTGATTTTTGCATATTTTAAATCTACATATTATATCACAGGGATGTTAACAAATTATTATTTCAAGGTAAAATTTACTAGTCTCATCAGATTTTATTTAAAGTGTCTATGTACTTACAACCTAAAATGTGTAAAAAGTGTTGACACAGCTTGTTTATTCAATTTTTAAACACTTATCAATCACCAGAGAGAATCAAAAGTAGTCAATTAGAATCAAAATTTTCATGTTCTTTCTAACTCTATATTGAGATTTTTTTTGGGGGGTTAAGATTGATTCACAAAGAGAAAATACTTAAAGACACTACAAATGACATCTGTATAGAATTCTGCATTTAGTTGATTTTTGTATCTTGATTAGAAGTACCACGATCAAAACCATAAGAAAAAAAATTTTCTTGTCTTTATAACGACGTGAAGGACTATGTTGACTTTATGAAATGTTCAATTTCACGCATCTTGTTACATGTTGCAACAAAGAATCTTAATCAATTACATTTTAAAATGCAAACTTTGAAAAATCCTATGTGATATAAAAAGTAGTTCTGCGAGAATTGACTACTATTTCCGAATCTTTTGTGGTCTGATTTATTTTCATCGATGATTTTATAGACAAACAAATTCTGTACAAAAATAGATATTTAAAAATGTCATTCCGAACAGTTATGAATGACGCAAAAAAGAATCCTGCTTTAGCTTCATGCAAACACTATTCTTGGTTTGATCAGATATTTATTTACAGCTAATCAGACTTCAATCAGATAAAACTTGTTCAATGAATATTAAAGTCTGTTTTTATTACACAGATTACTTTCGTAATAATATAAATGAAATATTTTTGAAAAAAAAAATCTTTGTTCTCTGAATGGATGTATTTCATTGTGATTAAATGTCAAATGAAATCCTATTTTCGATAACTTGTTGAATAGAGTAATATAACACATTAGACAGAAGCCACTTACTAGCTAGTCAAGTTGTTTTGTTGATTATACAATCATTATGCAATTGGTACTAGATGTACATGACACAATTTATTTTCTTTTATATTTTGAAGATTGGTTACTGTTTAATTTCTTGTTTTGATTTATAATGATACGTGTGCAGATAATTCAAAGCCAAAAAAATTCGACTTTCTAAGGTTTGTTTGATGATGTCATTGTGTATAAGACAAAATATCCTACTATGCTTATCTTGTATTCATACTTCATATACCATCGTTATTGTTTTTTCGTCATTAAATTAAATGCAAAAACAATTATAATTGTCATTTGAATGATTTTCTTTTTTGAATAGCTCAATACAAGTGAATCGTTCTATTCTTTATATATAGGTTTTTTCTATTGTCAGAGACTATAATGATCAAATCGATTATAAAATAATCACTTAATTTCACTTGTTTCTTGTGATAACAAGTATTCAATGATCAATATTTGTTGTTACTTTATGACTTCATGATATTTTTTTCTCTAGAAAATCTAATTATTGTTCATATTATAAAAATATTCATGACAATATGTATAATATTCTAGCAATAGCACACCGTTGATTGAACATGTTCTTCCTTCCTTCCTTCCTTTCTTTCTTTCTCCATTCACAAAACATAATCGTACAAAAAAAGAACATATATATATACATATATTCATGTAAATCATCATTGTCACGATTTTAATCCAAATTTACTTTCACCAACTAGGTGAATGTATATTCTTTTTTTTATTATACACATACTTGATTGCGTTAGATTTGAAGTACAATCACATATAGTTGAATGATCTTATTCTCTTCTAGATATATATATATATATGTATGCATGTCTATGCATCAATCGATAATTATTTTCAAAAGTACACAGCTTGTCATTTCTGCTAAGATGATCACACATAATGATGTATTAGACTACCTATTTTGATCAATATCACATCTAATTCTCTCACTTTCATGCATTCACACTCATGATGATGATTTTTTTTTTAAATTCTATGTATCAAGAATTGTTCTATAATAACGGTGACAAACAAGTATGTACTATAAGATTTAACTAAATCGAAAGCCTAATTTTTTTTTAATATAATTACTCTGTATACAAATAATCATCCATAGACGTAGATGTATTCATTTTAGTACATTAATCAAAGAAAAAAATCTTTCTCTCTTGTCAACAAGCTTTTAGTGTTGAAACAAATGAAGCATATAGGCAGTAGACTATAGCCAATAAGTGATGAATACCAGATAAAATTGACTTAAGACGATTAGAGAAATACAATGACAATCTTGTTTATTTTGCATAAAATCACCTATAAAGTAAGAATTGAGATTTATTGAAAGGCCATCAGTAAAAAAAGAAAAGAAGAAAAGAAATTTTCTCTTTTCTTTTTCAAGGATCTTGTATCAAGTAATTCACTTAATGGTTATGCATTTCACTGTTCATTTGAATTGCATTTAGATGACGCAATCATTATTCACTTGACAAATACACAGCAGGGAATAAGTCACTATACATCCTGAGGTGGAATTTGTCATATCGTTGTTTCTCGTAATATCATATCTATATTCTTTTTTTTAAATGAATAAAAATATCGACATTCATATATGTGTATATACGAATAACAATTGAAATAAGATACTTACATGAGAATATAGAACGATTTACCGTGACCCTGACATTTGTTTTTTTTTTTTGAATATTAGAAAACGAAACTTTTGTATTCAAAGAATAAGAAGAAAAAAACGACCCATATTGTTCATTTGTCAGACGTCGCGACAATAGTGAGTATAATTATTGTATATTGATCACAATATACCACGAAATTGGAGAGACACATCTTGTGTCTAATGACAATGTCACTATTTATGCCAGTATACATAATTACAAAATCAATGTCTAGTCGAGTTGTTTCTTTTTTTTTCAGATGATTAAAATTCGTACATAATTGAACATGATTTGGTATTTGTTTTTGATAATATTACATTTTTTTCATACTGATGCTAGTGTTCAACGTAAGTAAAAAGACAAATCTTTAAAATGATACTAATTTTTGTTTTTATTAAATTTTAATTTCAAGTATGCAATGGTCCATTGGGTATGATTAGTGGTGAAATACGTGATTGGCAAATAACAGCCTCATCAAGTTTTTTCGATTCGGATTGTCATGAGAAAAATGCTCGATTATATCAATCATTTGATCGTGCATGGTGTACACGACATAAATCAGATTCCGAATGGTTACAAATTGATTTAGGTATTATTGCTAAAGTTAGTAGAAAAATTTTTCATCTAAGATTTTCTTTAAAGAACAAACAAAAAATTTTTATCGTAGATATCAGGTGTATTAACTCAAGGTCGAGCTAATAAACAAGAATATGTCACAGCATTTATGATATCATATAGTATAGATGCATATCGATGGCAATATCTTGTTGATCAATATGGAAATCAAAAAGTACGATTCTCTTATGTTTTCAATCTTAATCAGATAAAACAAAATGTTCTTTTTTTTGTTTAGATATTTTCCGCTAATACAGATTCGTATTCTGTTCATAATAATTATTTTGATGAAGCAATTATTGCACGTTTTATCAAATTTCATCCAACGAAATGGTATTTACATCCATCATTACGTGTAGAAATTATTGGTTGTCAAGGTTTAGATTGATTTGTTTTTTCTTGAGTTTTTGTTATCTTAAAATCTATATTATATAGAATGTAAGCAATATTTGGGTTTACCACCTTATGGAAGAATAAGTGCATCAACAACATGGCCATCTCGTCGACGTGCTACATGTCAACCTGAAGATGGTTATATTATGAGTAATAAAGGATGGTGCTCAAAAAGAAGATATAGTTAGTTTAATATTGACTATTCAATGGCTTTTGTTTTTTGAACAGAGAAATTTCTTTTCTAGAATATGATCAATGGCTTGAATTTGATTTAGGACATCCATCAACTGTAACATCACTGATAACTAAAGGTCGAGGTGATACAAATCAAGAACAATGGGTTACAAAATATAAAGTTTCATTTTCTAATGATACTCGTTTGTGGCTTTATTATAAAGATAAATCACAGATTGAACCAAAGGTTCGTGTTTATTAAGGAAACTGAAATGTAAAGCAACTATCCTCATCCTTCCCCACTTTAGATTTATAGACTGCAAAGGATAAAAAGAAAGAATTATCATTTTCAGTTGCATCTACATGCAAAATTAAAATTATTGATGCAATATGAATCATGAAAATCTCTTTTCAAATAGGCCACTCTTGGTTTTATTTGATGTTTTGAGTAATTTTATAAACTGAATATTAATTTTGATGCATGACTAGTTTTTTTTTATAAGAATTTTCTTGTAATATATTGTAGGTATTTGCTGGGAATAATGATCGTGATAGTGAACGTATTCATTTTTTAAATCAACCATTTTTTGCTCGATATGTTCGTTTACATCCTATTGAATGGCATAATCATGTTAGTATGCGTGCAGCTATTCTTGGGTGTCCACATAAAGGTAATTCGTTTCGATTATTGTGAAATAAATTTAAACAGATTTGTTTTATGTTATTTTTAGGTTCTTGCTTTCCAGGTTATTTCCGTGTCAATAGTGAAGCCCAATGCAGTATGTATGGTTGAAAGGAAAACTTCTTAGTTTGAATGTATGTGTGTCTTCATAGTTGAAAATATTGCATATAAGAAACAAACATGGACAAATGATCGAAATCGTCATCATCAAAAAAATGGTGTTGATGGGTTTAAATTTCGTAGTATAAGAGAAACTAATGGTGATCCATCATTAGCTGTTGATGGTTTTGAAGATCCGTTAGAATGGTCAAAATGTGCTACAATTGATAATTATTTTGTTAAAAAACCTGTTTGGATGGTTGATTTAGGTAGACAAACAAATATAGCTGGTGTTATGTTAAGAACATGGCACGACAATAAAGGTAGTATAAAGAAAAAAGAATGAATCAAAAGAAATTTTTATTCGTTTTGTTTTTATTGAAGAATCAAATTCATCTTTATCAATCTATCGAAATTACTTAGCAAATTTAGATCGATATAGTGTTTATGTTGATTATTATCCACGACGATATCGTTTTCAAAATACTAATTTATGTTCTTATATAACACGTACTGATCAAGCATTAACTTCATCATCTCGTTTACATTTTCAATGTCAACGTCCATTACATGGTCGTTTTGTTTATATTGAAGCAGACGGTACTAGTAGTCATTGGAATAAATTATTTACTGCTGTACTTTGTGAAGTATTTGTATATGAGCAGTAGATTGAAAATTTGTTCATCTTTGTTTTCGACAACGTTCAATTGTCAGATTTTGATTGTGTTTGTCTTCTATTAGAATTTTATGTTTTGTTAAGATTATATCATATAGATATGAATAAAAAAGATGAGTGGTGTTTTTTTTTGATTGACTGATAATATATAGTACGATGAAATGAATGCAAATTTATATATTGGAAATACAGAGAATAAGAGTTAGTATGATATGATTAGTTTCGACTGAATTGGTTTATAATGGAATAAGTATTCGATAGTAAAAACGATGAAAGAGCAAAATATCTATGTTTGCATGTTAGGAAGAAAACATATAATCGAATACCATCTTTCATTGCAATTTAATGATATTGAAAATTATTGCACTATGCAAACATGAATTCTAATATCGGATTCGAAGGATTGTTTGAAAAATACATAATTTGTTGTCAACTCCCAATGGAATTTTCAAAAACGTCAGTAAAGTTAGCATTAGATTCTATACTACCTGTTCGGATTCGTTTCCTTATCTGTACTATTATTCTAGTTGATTGTGCTGGATGCAGAACTTCATTTTAAATCGAATAGTACTATTTTCACTCAGGTTTGCTCATCATAAGGGGATCTCATTTCCTAAATATCGACCCGATGGTCCAATGGACACGTATCTCTTGATAATATTTGCTTCCGAAGGATGTAACTGCTCGGTTCTTCTCTCGAAAAAGACTGTATGCCATTCAAGGATTGATGGAGCAGAGGCATCATTTAGCATAAAACACAAAAAAGAAAACAAAGGGAATAAATTTTAGTTCTCAATGTGATTAAGAAGAGGAAAATTGATAGTTAGCTTTTAATCTAATAGAACGAAACAGAGACTGGTGTTCGGTTCTTTACAAATCATTCTTATTGTTATAGTTTCTCATTATTGTCTCCTTGTTTACTACAATAAATATGAAAATAGGTATTTTTAATCAAGTGTTGCACACTATTGTCCATGTTTATTCGAAAAATAATACGTAAAATGATTCATTTGCTTTTTTTTTCTACTAATAAAAAGAGATTTTTAATTAGTATGCTCCAATAAAGCATGACAAGATTAAATAACGATAGAAAAAATGATAAATAAATTAATGCTCAAGAATACGTAAATTGCCAGAAACAATTTTATTCTCAAGAATAGCACCAGCTGGAATATCAATTCGCTCACCATGATTGGCAATAATAATAACCGTACCCTAAAAATAACAAATTTTAAGTAGTATATCGTTTTTATTTCTATTTTTTACATACACGTAATGTAACACCTTGACCAAATGTAACATCACCTGATACCGTCAGACTATCAAGTTCAAGGCAATTTGGTATACTTTGAAATCGCGATAAAAAATCTTTAACCTTTCAAAACAAAATTAAATAAAACAAGCAAAAACTAATGAATATATATATACTTTAGAAAAACTAGGTGCAAGTTTAACCAATGGTACTGAAGGAAATGAACGTTGTGCATTCATAACTAAGTTACCACGATTAAGTGTAAATAAATTTGACATAACCAATAAAAGATCTGATGTTGTTTTAACTGGAAGAAAACGACGACGTGGAACATTAATACCTTATCAAAGAAAACGAAAATCATTCAACTGAAAAGACTTGTTATAAATAATTACCTTGTGCTCCTTCAAAACTCTGTATTGCAGCACCACTAGCTGTTTCTAATTGAATAATATTAAGACCATTATCCATGGTCTTCAAAGAAATAATATATTTTTATTTTTAATTAAGGAAAAAAATTTACTTTATGATTAACGATTATTTCCATCTCTAATGTTTCTTCTTCAAGAATACGCTTAATAGCTGCAAGATTTATCCATAAATTGTTTGTATTAAAAATTCTATTAAGAATTAATTTAGTTAAATATTTAGGTAATTCAAATGTTTTATTTTTACCGAAATTTACTGATACTTTTAAACTCATCAACATGTTCTTTTGGTACTTGAGCAATTTCAAGTAACCGTAATTTTCCGTTATATTCAATTAAGGTACCACCCTGTTCATCATTAGAAACAAAAAACAGAACTTTGAAGATTTGAAAACATGTTATTGTTCTTACTTTAACATCAGCTCGTGTTTTATCGGTTACTTCCATGATAAATTCATGTTTAGTTTGATTATTTATTAAATAATTAAGAATATCTATTGATTGAAAATGATTCAAAGAGTAATTAAACACAGGCAAAGAATGATGTCTTACTTAAATCAACAGTCGCTCCAAGATTGTCAATATTACTTATAAACATATATTCTTTTCCTTGTTCAATAAATACATCAAGTAAACCAGATTGATAGAATGATTGATAAATATCACCATGACCAGGTGGATACCAACAAGAATTATCTGATCCTGCAATATTTTTTGCAATGGGTAGTAAAGTTTCACGATCGATACGCGGATACCTACAGAAAAAATATTAATGAGTTTTTTGAAAAAATATATTTTTCAAAGATTAAAAATTTATTTTTGAATAATCATCATTTCGAGCATGGAGATTCTCAATATTTTCAGTTAATATTTCTTATTTCTGCGTTATAAATAAATACTTCGTTTGATACCAAGCTCATGCTGTATGATATGAGATCATAACATATTATACCGTCAGTTTTGACTTGGATTTATCTCACTAGTAGTTTTCACAGGAAGAGTTGATTTTTACTCGGAGAATATCATAGTTCGATTTGTAATGGATCTTTCACTGAAGATGCTCGTAAAAGGAAAACTTCAGATCAGATAACAAAAAACATGAACCATGACAATCATTAGTATCTAGCAATCGTGACATCAATCAGTATATAGAAATACTTGTGTCATCGAACATTCTATTAGCTTTATCCAACTAAAAAATAATTTTCAAGATAACTGAGATCGAAAAACTTTATTGGAAGTCAATATCGATATGCCATTCCTAGAAAAAGAACATCCGTCATTGCATTAGAAATTTCACAGCTTCTATTGTGTCCAGACAATGTTTGCTTTTTCATTGAAGCTCCACATTTGCTATTGAGTTAGTCTTAATCTGATGTCGTCTGCATCTGAAAATGTTTTTCCAGTCCATGTCATGAAAATCGCCTCGATTTTGTCGATTTTCAGGACATTGAAGACATCAAATAGTCCTAATTAAGAATAATCTCTAGAAATAAATATTTTTTCGTTGATGTTTAAGATCATAATCATCGTGCACTATGTAACCGCTATTTTGTCTGCGAATAGGTATTTGAACATGATCATAGATTAACAGGTTGGTATTTCTTCTGCTTGATGCATCAAATATAGGATGTCACTGTGTCACAGAGATGGACACAGCTCAGCTTTTTGAACATTTAAGCAGCATTGAAGCCGAAAAAAATTTAAAAAACCTTGAACCAAACCAAAGAAGACATTTTTTCAATCCCATCAGAAATAGCAAAAGTTATTTAATTTTTGTTTAAACTTCTTAGTCTAATTTCGAATGATTCTCAGCTAAACTCTTGTTCTTGTCATAAAACATTCAATATCAGAAGCTCCTTCCATAATAAAAAAAGGCCTACCGAAGAAGTGACACCTTAGATATGATAGAAATCCTTCTCTAAATTATTTAACTTATTAAGGCCCGGCTACACGCGTCCCCCCCCCACACAGACATTAGCGCCAACCCCAGCACCAGCCACCCACAAGCAAAGGCGAAGAAGCATGAGANATAAATTTATATAAATTTAAATCATCGGTAATCAAGTTTAAAACAAATTAAATTTTTTTCATAATTTAAATTATCAGAATTTATATTAAAAATAAATTTTGCTTTAGACAATTTAAATTTATTTTTAACTTTTAAATTATGAAAAAAAAATTAAATTTACTTTAAATGCAAATTATGAGAAAAATAGCCTAAATTTATTTTAAATTTAAATTACCGATAATGTAATTTACACAGTAATTAAATTGAAAGTAAATATAAATTGACACTCCTACAAAGCCCCTATTGCACCCACACTCATATAATATTTGTTAATAATTTTTTTGAAATCAAAAAGTTGTCGCTACTTTGGCTTTTGGTTTTTCTTTACCTTTCTCTTTTCATCAAAAACATTTTAATTTCGTCCAGTCACAATTAAAATTTTAGTTCTGACTGATATTATGTTGGACAAAATCAAAATTTCAATTTTGCCTGGGCAAAATTAAAATTTTAATTTTGACCACAACATATATATTATATATATCATTTCGATGGCAAAAATCACTAAGAGATCAAAATATTTCTATCAAAGGGGAAGTTAATAAAGAAACGACTGAACAATTTTTTAATATTTTTATCCATATCCTGAATTATTCTTATGTTTACTATTTTTGTAGTAGCGAGCTTTTTGATGTAGAATTGACAGATTCATATTAAAATTTGTTATGAATATTATTATTTTTTTCCTCGAATAATTTGAAATAAATTTTAGTCAGTGGATACTTTTATTTTTGAAATGATATATAATTATTTCGACAAGAATAGGGATCTAACTGAGAAAGAGTGAAAGAAAATATGTGAACCTTCTGTGATTTTTGTGATCAAAATAATATTTTTGATTTTGAAAAAGAGATTTTTGGACTTACCTGAGTGAGTTATTCTTGAGAAAATTAGCGCACGAAAAATAAATTTAATCAGAGAATCGAGGAAATAAAAAAACGGGTTCCTACATGTATTATAGAATATTTAATTAAGACTCTTTTTTATAAACTTATATGCTTGGGAATAAATAGAATGATATGTATCGATTGAATAAGGAACAATAGGAATTACGGAATAGTTATGAGTGTTGCTCTTTGTCTTGTAGTAACAATGAAACAAAGAAACAAAGAAGTTCGATGCTACTGGTTAACGCTATCACCAACAGGATAGGAGAAATAGATATCTTCGTCAAAAGCTTTCGTTTTATTCAAGTTAAAACGCATTACTTGCCCTCTCATGATCTTTCAACCCGTTAAGACGCGTCAACAAAAAGTTAAACGCGTTGAAACGCGGTTATTTCTTTCATGTGTTCAGTCAACGCGTTATAAAGCGTTGTTTTTTTCTATTCTAACCTTCAACGCGTCAAAACGGCGTTTTGGCGTCTATCTGTCTGCGTGGGTACTCTCGACTTTTCGATAACATAAATTTTTTTCATTGATCAGAATGTTTTCTAAAAATGTCTCCGAATCGTCCTACGCTACAAAATCATTTATACTTCTTGAAACTATCCATCTTGTTGGGCAGAGAAAACAAATAAAATAATCACATAGAATGATCAGAGCTAAATTGTTATGTTTTGTTGAATTAGATTGCATTTGATAGGTCTTCTTTGTGATCTACTTTGGGCTGATCCAGACAACAGTGTGAAAGATTGGAACGAGAACGACGCCGGTGTTTCAATCAGATTCGGTATTAACGTGGTGAAACAAGTAAGTCTTGGGCTGAAACTTTTTTTCTGGGAAATTCTACTATTTCAGTTTTTGAATCGATACAACATGGATTTGATCTGTCGAGCGCATCAAGTAAGAAATCATATATCATAGTCCGAAAATATTTACCAGTTTCAGTATTCTTTTGTTATCATAGTTTGCTATGAAAAGACATCATTTTGCAGAATATTCTTTTTCTTTAAAGGTAGTGGAGAATGGCTATGAGTTCTTTGGTAATCGTCAACTTGTCACTATCTTTTCAGCCCCAAACTACTGTGGCGAGTTCGATAACGCAGGTGCACTAATGTCAATTGATCAAAATTTGATTTGCTCGTTTTCGGTATTGTTCGTTTATTCTCATAAACTTTACTCAAGAGCCTTATCATTGTTACCTAATTGTTGAGAGCATCTGATGCTCATGATGTAGGTCTTGATAGGCTACAAAACTTTCATAAATCGGGTTGACTGACAGATTTTCAGAGATCTTGCAAATTTTTGTAAGAAAAAAGTTGGTATTATCTTGCATCGTATATCCCCATTTTTAAGCCTACTCTGATCATGATCCGAGCTTTTCAATGCAGCTACTTCAAAATTATTTGGTTGTTCACATTTGTATATTTAAACCGAAAGTGAAATTTTTGAGAACAGGAAATTTAAATCTCTACACCTTCGTATATATTTTCTGAAGCAAAAAAAACATAAATAAATCTCTCGTTAGCTAGAGCTTCTTTGAATGAGAGTGCGTATATCGGCACTGAACTCATAAATATATTAAAAAATGTAAGGATCTATTCTAATCAGAATAATGAACTTGACATCAAGGACAGCGTTTCGACATTCTATGCTGACCATGTGACATTTCTTTAGACGGAAAGAAACCGATCAATTGATGCGATTTGATATTCTCATGCTAAAAAAGAGAGACCCCTGTCAGATTTTAAGATGAAATAATCTTCTCTTCAGTCTTTTGTTATAGATTTTCCGATCGAGTGAAAAACCCACTAAAGAACAGAATGCTGGTGATTTAGACGCTGGCAGACAACCCATTTCTTCCAAAACCAACACCAGCAGTCTATCCAGGATTCAAGCTGCAGAATTCAATAAGCATGTGAGATGGGCTGACATTGAACGTGGCACATCATCTGAAGAACATACACTATACTCACTATATACGGAGCTCTAATAGACTTGTTGATTAACAGAGAGTCATACGAAGATCAGTGCTGTACGAACAATAGTGAAATGAAAGCAGTCATCCAATAAATCCATATCTATTCTACTGTTTTATGCATTTAGCTCTATGACGCCCTTGTACTCGTCGAATCTTATATTTTCTGACGAAGAAAGCTTGTCGTGTAATAATTTCCTTTATAAGCCAGGCTTTTGTTCATGAGTAGCTTTCGATAAATAATGACAAACCATAAGAGTTTTCGAGTTCCTTCCTGAAACATAAAAATTTCAAATCATGTTTCAGTGTGATATGAATTATCTGGCAAATGATCAAGTCTGACAATTTCTTGTATTCAAAAGTCAAAGTAATAAATATAGCTTACAAGCATACTCATTAGAATCAAATATCATTTAATTCAGAACACCTACCATTGATCAAACTCAAAGCATTACTCATGAGTTTGATCAACTTTTCTTTCTTATTAACATTTCAAAAACAAAGTAGTCTTCGATTATCATCAAAAATTTTTGATTGCTTGAAAGAGAATCATCACAAAGTCTTGTCGGATTTGTATGACTCATTAAAGCGATTCAGAGAAGATTGTTTTTATTGCATTGCTAAACGATAAGAAAAAAGAAGACAAATCCAAATAAAGTTAGAAGACGGTCAGTTGACGGCATAATCGATTTCTCATCTATTGATGACATCATTCATCAAATCAAAGATACCTTCTGTTTGTCTCCTTCACCGATTCCTGATCAAACAAAGATCTATACTTTTATATGAATTATCTATCATGGAGCTGATTTTTTTATTCTATCGTTACATTGAATATATTTACTATTATCTCGATCAATCTCATGATGAAGAACTTCTGTAAGCATTCTCTGTCGATTTCTTCACAGAGGAGAAAGCAATAATTGTTTAGAACCTACAGAAATATCTTTTAATGATAATTTTGTCTCGATCAATCATCTAGAAACGATCTTTTACCGCATTAAACAAACTACGTCGTAGGAGAAGACCTTCGTTTGGTTAAATTGTATTTATACAAACTGACTCTTCCGTCACGCGCAATAGTCTCACATGTTTCTGGATCACTGTGATAACAATTATCGCTCTCTAATGCACAAACGTCTAACTGTTTCAAACGTACAAATCATGAATGATGAATTTAGAATGAAATATGTTTTCTTCAATCAATGGCAGATAATGCATCGACCCTGATTGGACTTTTTTCTAACAGATTAGTACGAAAAAATGGCGAAAGCTCAATCTAGAGTCAAGTTTCTCATGTAAGTTGTTCCCGCTAGACGTTACGCTATGTCTTTTTTCATTTTTCATTTTTCAGTGTATCTGTTTTGATGTCACCATATACTAAGTTAACCATTGAAGTTCAAAAGCGAGTTTATCCATGTCTGTTTGATGCAAGCTTGCAGTTGAACAATCGTTAAACTTGTTCAGGTTAAGCAGGACACCTTACCACAATAACAGAAGTGAGAGATACGCTAAAAGTTAGAAAAGCTATTGGTAAGACTTATGACGTGCTTTTTGATATTTAATAGGAGAATTTTAATAGATAATCACAAATGGCTATTTATCAATATGTTACTCAAAATTAAGGCGAACGCCAATTAAGATTAAAACTGGATATGGGACACAGTTCTATATATTAGAGAACGAGATGATCATATAATTACTTCCTGATTATGAATCGACATGCAAAACATTACTTTAAGGGATAGAGAAAGAGATAAGTATTTCACACGTTTAATTAGATGAAATAAGGAAGAGTTGATTTTATTAGGGCACGTAGTTAAACATGAATGGCATTGGCATTATGATAATACTTGCTGTTAAATCATTTCATCACTCAACAATTCTATAATGAATTACTCCAAATGTCAGCGCGCAACTAAATCCAAAAGTATTTGTTGAAAAAAGATCATTGGTAAAGTTCAAATCCAAGGAAGAAATGCTTGCCAATAAAGAAATGCAACGTCTATCCATGAATGATGTCATTACCATTGTAAATGGATATTTACTCGCATCGTTAGCCATGATCTTTACAACGATGAATAGCTAGTGTTGCAGCAACAACTGTATGCTTTTGTTTCTTAAAACTGAGGCAATTAAACAAATATAAACTAACTAGATGAGTAAACTTGTTTCTTCTCACACATAAAGATCAATTCGATATGTCACGCAGAAACAGAAAGATGTGAATACATCGTTTGAAATGGGTTCTCAATCAAATGACTAAGTCAAATATTCAATACCAATTTTTTTCTCACCAACGACACATGTGATAAATGTCATTAGGAATGTCATTTGTGTGTACTCAAAAAGTGAGTACATTCTAGAATCGGTCAGTGTGTCCGTCCGGCCGGCCGTTTACACGATAAATTTTGAAAGGAGAATCTGATTGCGATGAAATTTTCTACACAGTTCAGTCTTAACAATATCTCGATCGAGTTCGAAGATGAGCATGATTGGCTGAGCCGTTCCTGAGTTATTGCAAAAATAGTCATTTTTCCCTATGGCTTCCTATAGGAAAATCGACCTATTCTCACTTTCGTAAAAACTTTTACTATCATAATCAAATAAAACTCCAACTATTATATACCATTCGATAGAGAATTTCACGAGCTACAAAATGGTATATAAAACATAAAGAAACAAGAAGATTAACTCAACGCAATTGGTTCTGTTTTCGTTCACACTCTAATTGATCCACAATTAGAGCTCAATCTTCTGATCACAGAGATGATACTTTGAGGTTTTCTGGGCTGGAGAACTCGAATCTGTACTCCACTTACCTCTAAATCCTATTGGTTGAGGGATAACCAATAGAAATCAAGTGGTAGAAAAAAAACGACTTTCTTAGGGTAAATCAAGACGACGAGTTCGAATCTGAGCTGTATTCGCCCCCAAGTCATATTGGGTGAGCAATAGCCAATAGAAGTCAAGTGTTTATAGGAAAGATTTGCCAGAATAATATTGATGTTCACACATTCTAGGATGACTCATCTGTCTAATTCACTTTTTGAAGTACACATAACTCTCGGATTTAAATCCGAGGTTTCCACATTTATTTAAATTAAGCTTTGCTTCTAGAATATATACAAACACTTTTGAAATAAACACCCATTTTTGGCGCGTTTTTTGAGTCATTGAACTTGTGATCCCTTTTCTCCGTTAAAAAAGTAAGAATAAAAAAAGGGCTCTGGTAGGCAATGCATCCTGACATGCTCTTTCAAACAAAAAAAAATCAAGGATATAGCGCTAGCCGAGACAGAGAAATTTGGGTCCCCAAATGAGCTATTTTTGACCCTTCTTTGGTGAATATCTCCCTTCAACGTCATGGTACAGGACTGAAATTTTTACCATAGCCTCTCCACTACAGTCCTAACATACCCTAAGAATTTCAGTCAATTTGCATGTACCTGACACGAGATAGGTTTTGGAGTGGGGGGGCCTTAAGAAACTCGCACTTTGATGGATATATTTAATGAAAAATATGCAGTTTCCAGGATACTTAGCTGAAAACTAGCCAAGACCGAGTCTAAAATTATTTCGGCATATTTTAATATAGATAACCCTTGTATTACGACAAAGTACCCATCAGTTTCCAGAATTTTTTTTTGAATAAAATCTCACTAAATTTCTTATTATTAAACAGAAAGATTATGTCGGTGGAAGTTATTGAGCTGGTGACAATGGCAAGAATGACACTTAGAGTAACGCATCGGCTGAAAGTGAGGAATAACTCTTTTGAACTATATCATTCTTATGATACAGTTAAACGTATTATATTCTATCAAAGATAAATCGAGATAGAAAGCTGATTTAAATAAATCTACCCTGACCGCCCCACCCACCTCCCCCGCAAAAGATTACCGGTATTCTCTCGTTATTTATATTCTACTTTATTAGTGCTAAAATGGCGGAAATATTCATGTTACACTCACTTTAATTTAAATAATCACTACATAAATATTTTTTCTCCTGAAAGAATGTACTTGGTTTGTTCACGTTTTTGTTTCCTTAGGAGAGGAAGCACAAGAAAATATGAATACTTTCATGGTTATAAATCCCATATTGTATTAAACTCCTTTTCTTGCTTTATACATGTATTTCGAAATACTGACCTAAACTTATCAATTTGGGTGAGAACCAAACCGAACCAGTGAAGGTCAAGAACCGTGCCTATCTCTGATGTGTCAGCCTTCACTTCAATAACAGCTACATTTACTCAGACAAAAAAAAAGTCAACTACAAGAATGTTAAAACGTGCAAACGCATGTGTTGATTCAATTTGTATTTTAAACAGGTTTTTTATAGTTTATTTCAATGTATTTTGATTATAAAGTTTTAAAAACAGTCTGGTTGTATTGCTATGAAATGAACGATGTTTAAAGAAGAAATTTCCGTTTTTATTTAGACTATCTTAAATTGATCGAACGTTATTCAAAATAGTCTTTCACATAGTAATTAAATATTTTCTTACAGCATGGTTTCTAAAACACACTTATCTAACTATAGCTGATGTAAAAGCATAGTTTAACAACTAAAACATACTTCTATAAGGGTATGTCTGCGACTAAATAGAAGACTGATACTCAAAGCTATTCAAACTGCTTAAAGCTGTTTGTCTATCTCCAAAACTACGTGTAAAATGGTCACAGAATCTAAACTTTTTTACATCTCAACGGAGAAAACACGTCAAATAACTAAACATTGTAAAGTTGCTTAAACAGATTTTGGGGTAATATCACACTGTTTCAATAGTAAAGACTCATAGTGTCTAAACAACGTTTTCCTCGTTTGCTTATCTACTTGAGCAAGTCATATCAGTAGTTCCAACATGATAGAAGCTCTGTTTCAAAAATTGTTGATTAATTGCACATTTAGAGAGTTCTAGAAGTTTCTATTGTGGTGAGGCATTTACATAGGCATTTTCATTAATTTATAATTGAAAGTGTATTGCCTTATTTTTTATGTAACTCACTGCTTGTATGGGGTCAGAGATAGATATCGATACTTATATTGTTTAATGCACTCAAATAAACTATTCGATAATTCAAGTTAATCAATATAATAAACTGAAATAATTGGATATTAGTTTTCAAGTAAAAGTATTAAAATCCTTGTTAGTTAATTTTAAAATAGTTTTTTCCTTTTAATTATCTAATAATATTACTAGAATGGCTTACTTTGATTGATTAAAGTTATGAATTTTAACCGATACATGATTATATTTTTGAAGAATATTTTCTGTTTCTTCATGTGTATTAAACGAATTCATTAAAACTAATGGTACATCACAGTCATATGTACGATTGAGTTGCTAAGAAGAAAAAAGAAAATGTTGAATTATTATGCTTAAATTTATAAAAAAATGACAATTGTTACTTCAAGTTGTTGAATAGTTAAATCTAGAAAAGTAAGACCACTCCTTACAGAAATGACACTTTTAGGTCCTTGGCAACCCATTGTTGTACCAAGACCTCCATTAAGTTTAACAACGATTAACTTATTTAATAAATCTTTTGCATCATCAACATTAGTTTCAAGTAATTTTTGATATGGAATAATCTAAACAAATTAATAACTGTTAGAAAGAAAAAATATTTTAACGCATGTCACAAAAATCAGATCACTTTTAGTGGTTAATCACGGTAATTGTCAAAACTACCGCTTTACCGCGGCTTATCACAAAATTGTACCCAAACTTCATGCCATGAGACTTGACCAATAACTATACTTTCTCTATAATCGGTTGCCTAGTAGTGGTATTTGGTTGAAGTGATTATCAAGATAGGAGACCTCTGTTTAATTTTCTATAGTAACTAAATAGGTGCTTTAGTTACAAATAACCTGAAATGAGCTATACCTGTTGATATCAGTGGTCGATGACTATGCTTCTATAGATATTATTCTTAATGTTTGATCTCTGTCTTTAGAAATGAATATTTTATAAAGGAAAACCTCCTCGTTTCTGTTATGTTGAAACCATCAGTTTTTTTCCAATTTTTATTATATGGGATGTACGTTTTATATCATGCATTCTTTTGCGTGTTCTGTTGGAGACGATAACTAAATAACAGAGGTAAGTCAACTACTCAACGCTAACCAAACTGGTTCTATAAAAACGTATGAAAATATGAAACCAAATTTAAAGATATTTTTCAAAAAATGACTAATAGAATTTTAACAGGAGTATTATAAGGAAATTGGTTCTTAAGAGAAATGACATATAAGGAGAAAATGTCCATTATGCGATTCTATTCTGATTGATTCTCAGCCTCTTTGTGGAAGGGTATGCAACCATGCTTTCTGTACAGTTGGTAATATAAGAAAAGTGTCCAATCAGTCACGCGATGATAAAATACTAGTAGAACTGTTCGTTTTCATAACGGTCTTCTCAAAAAGTCCTGAAATCATTGATATTGTGTTGTTCAGCTTGACATATTTCACTCTTCCTAAACAACCGAACAAAAAGGATTTAAAATTTACGAATCTGTGGTAGATTGCCACAAAAAATTGATTCAACCATTACTTTAAGATTATTAAAATAGTGCGTCTGATTAATATGCAGCTATCAACACTGATTATTTTATCTGTTTAGATAATAGATTGAACATTAGTTCACAATTGGGACATCATAAAACAGCTGAAAGTGATAATCAATAAACGGCGACAAAAATTTTGAGGACATCCTTTTTTGCGTATGTTTAATAATTCTTTGTTACTGTTTTTGAGGTGAAAACTAGTTGAAGAAATAAATAAAGCACTGAACTATGAATTTCAGTACAATGAGATATTCAATGGTCACAATATGACAATCAAACAGCGCCGATTAACCATACGAAAGTACCGGTAAACTGACGGCTTTTTTCTCGGTTTTTATCAAATGGGAAACCTGAACGTACCGTTTCTTCTGGTGGTGGTTGGATTTTTTGCCAATCAATTGATGATTGATCAGTATTTTCAAGTAAATACCGGCTGAATAGTTGTTGATATCCATCAAACTCTAGTTGATAACTCTATAAAAATATTTTTTTGAAAAAAAACTGAACAACATCTATACAAAAATACTCACCTTTTGTAATTGAGGTTCAGCAGTTAATATATGTTGATTTAACGACTTTTGAAGTCGTTTTAAAGCATCCCGTTTTGTTAAATATTTAAATGCCGCAATTTCCGCCTGACTCGGTCTTCGGTTGCACATATACTAAAGTAAGAAAAAAACATTTTCTTATTACTCTTCTTATACTATGGTGTCTATAAAATGACTCTATATTTAACATAGTCAAAAATCACTGCATCATATTATCATAAAACATGGCAGACAAAAATAAATATATTCTAAAGATTTTCAAAGAAAAAGCAAATATTGACTTATTCTTACTGTGTTCTCCGATGGTGGTTTTGATAGTATGCCCGGCATTTTCAAACAGAAATTGTTGAGTAAATAAATCTGAAGTAGAAAGTTTCAATAAGTTTCAACAATTTTATAAGTCTTTTTCTATGCTACTTTCCCCTGATATGTATTAAGTCTTTGATTATGATAAAGAAAACTAAGTGCTTATAACATCCATACAGAAAGGACTATAGTTTATAAAGGGCATTTCTGGAAAAAAGATTCAGGTCGATTAAAACGGAGAACGTTACGGCGTCGTTTATGCCAGTAAACGACAAGTATACGATGCAATTATGGTAGTTTACAGTGAAAATACGACTCGTTGCGGTACCATATGGCCCCGTAATAATACTGCTAGTAATGCGGTCGCATATGTCCGTACCGTATACGACGGGGTAAACAGCCTCTAATGGTGTTTACGGCAGTAGCACATGAGCAGTAGTTTTTATCGTTTATAGCAGTAAATACATCGCTCTCCTACAGCACAGGTACTTTCTTACGATCCCATTAGACACAGTGATTACAGTCTTTACGATCCTAAACGGTCAAATACGGGCCGTTTACGTGTCGTATTTTGTTGTGAATCTGATCAATGACTAACGACCATCTTTCACCGTATATGCACTATATTCCCATCGTACATGAGCAACGTAAACGACCGTATACAATTGTCTGTCATCGTGCTTACATGAGCTCTTTCTCATTGAAGAGACCGACGACTTTCTATTATATCCTCCTCTCCTAAAAAAACACACATCTAATTTATTTATTGAAACTACTTTTCACCCTTGTACTCGTTTCTCAGTAATCTAAATAAACAAAAAGATTTATTTATTTAAAAATTAAAGCTTACCTTATGCTTGTTTGATAATTAGCCTCAATAAAAAAAACACTTATTTCCTAAAATAAATGCTTACCGTTGTGCTTCTTTGTGATTTATTCTAGATAAAAAAAAATATTCATATTAACTCCAACGCTTGTGATTTTTTGGAAATGATCTAAATTAAAGGAAATATTTATTGTCTAAAACTAATTTTTACCCTTGTATACTTTTATGGGAATTAATTTAAACAAAAAAGAATTCATTTTTTTATTGCCCTTTGCCACATGTAATCTTGACGTATTGTTAAACGACACAGTTGAGTGTGTCGAGCAGATCTCAATAAATGTTATCTGAAGACATGAAAAAAAACGCTCCCAAACTTCATTGCCCTGGTCGATTCCCGTGAGAAAATCGCCGTTAACGCCTACCGTAAATTCATGGGAGTCTCAGAGAATTGCAAGCTGTCGGAAACAATAAGCGTGAACGGTTGGAAAAAAAGTTGCCGTTTTCCATCGTAAGTCTTTGTTAGCGGTCATTCATGATAGCGGGCTGTTCTTGTTCAATAGAGCAGAAATTCTCTTACTCCAACTTAGGGGTGCAACAAATCCAAAGCCTTGGGATTTGGTACAAGGAGATTTGGATTTGGGCTTGGTTTTGGTGTCCAGTTACCCAAATTTGATGTGGATTTGTAAGATAAAGTTTCAAAAAAGAGAAAAGAATCCCAAATCGTGTTAATTGATCTGAAATGACTTGGATTTGGTTTAGATTTGGATTTGATGTTCAGATTTGGTTCCTTTCTATCAGAAACGAACACTCAGAGTCATTTTAGATTGTAACCAAATTCCAAATCCAAATCCCCAATTCCACATCAAAATATAGTTGATGTTCTTAGTTACAGTCCGAATCGGATCCAAATGATAGCCGCAGTCCAAATTCAAACGGGATGTATTTCTAGAACCAAATATAGACCAAATCCAAATTCAAATCCAAATATCAAGAATTTGGCCCCAAATCTCAAATCTCTGAGAGATTTGTTGCACTCCTACTCCAACTTAACTGAGCTGTACTTGTGACACATTTTGCCGTAGAAAAAAAGATTTATTTTTCCTCATATTCAACGATTTCGGACCATCTTCTTCGTTCTCATATTTGCGAATGAACCAAGTAGGATCTTATAAAGGCCTATTTTATCTTCCTCTTTCCTCTGTGATTGCCACTGAGCTTCGAAAATACCATGATCTAAATCACAGATTTTCTATAAGTTCAATTGAATAGATTCATACTGAAAGGGTCCAAATGTTTTACAAAAATAAAAAAAAACATTTTTCTTTGGATCTTTTCGTGGTATTCACATCTTTTCGATCTTCTCGATAATCTTTGTAAAAATTCAACAGAAGGATTCTTTTAATGCTCTTTTTCGAAATCCATCCGAAATCTGTGAAAATAGTGGATCTCCCGTAACCTTACGAAATGAGCTTATTTTGGTCATATAAATGAGCATTGGTAGGAAAAAGCAGGATTTTTCTGACGTTTTTCTTCGTTTTCGAAGAAATTTTAAAATTAGGAGTTTTTAGAGTGTGGGTATGATCATTGAATTCAAGAAGATCTACGTCCACATCCACCCACACCCTCAAAGACGTTTTCATCAAAACAGATGACACTGGGTGAAGAAAAAGTCGGAGAATGCTCGACACTGATTTGTGACATATCTGATTAACTCATATCATGCAAACATTTAACTCTACGTCACATTTTAAGTATATACTTGCACTGTAAAGCACAAATGGCCCAACTGAAAAGCCACGAAAGGCGCATCTTCTTCTACTGAAATAGGAAAAGTATTTAGCAGCCTATGGCAGCGTGATACTATGTTACCTAAACATTTGCTAATTTTCATGAAAACAATACGATTCAATGGAAATTTATGCTCATGTTTTAATAAGGTACGAATTATTCTCAGCATCCAACTACAAATGTGTATAATATCAATTTGTTTCAAAAAAGCATTTTCAGAATCTTATAATAGTATGATGGTTTCCTATTTTATTCCAGTGCTCTGCACTAAAAAAATGTATCATACAAAATCGGCAAAGGTTTTGTACTTGTTACTAAACTTAAAAAGAGTTTCGTACATGTACGAAACTTAAAATCGGTTTCGAATTTTGCAACTATCGAAACTTTTTAAAAGTTTCCTAGTTCCTTGAGAATCATTGTGAATGTGTCTGTAGATTCTTACGAAACCTTTTCTTAGTGTAGTTTGAAACTTATTTGACGCATTATTCAATATGCCTGAATTCAATGAAGAACCTGTTTGAACTGTAGCATACTCAACAAAAGAAAAAGAACACAGGAGCATTGCATTGAGCATTAATGAAACAAACGGTATTCGGTGTTGAAAACGTCATATTGCCACTTTCGCATAAAGGCAAATTCTGACAAGGTATCACAGTATCTGCACACATTTCACTTGCAGTCCATATTGCTTGAATAAGGTAGTGATTTCTCTTGGCCGTATTTTGACGAACAGCATCCACATATTGGACGTGCAGTATCAATGGAGGCTTGTCGTCGAATGCGCTTCATAGACAATCAAGCTCACATCTGGTTACAAAAAAATTGTCGAGTACTATCATTTGCATGTCATGTAATTATTCAGAAGAAAAGGAAACATAAACTACAAAAGACTGATTTATTGCAATCGTGCTCAATTCTCATTTACACGTCTAAGTCAAATTTGTTTCTCTTACCTCTGGCGGAGTTCACCATAAGTTGAAAAATGCATTCAGATTAGATACTCATTTTACTGTTTAGGGCTACTTACGGTGTCACGGTTATTGTATTTAACAATCGTTGCGTAGTATCTGTTCGAGTAGTGACAAATTATATGGCCGCTTTAGCTTTTATAGATGATGGCGTTCCCTACTACTTCCTTAATTGAATGAGGTTATGGTAAACATGAAAGAGATTTCTCAAGTATTTATGTACTTCCATTCACCTCGGTTGGCAATACTAATTGAATTTTATACTGTGCATAACGTCAGTCTGAGTCCGCGAGACTTACTTCCTCACTGTCAATGATGAGGTACGACTCTCGACAAAAAGCAAATATTTGTTGACTGATAAACCTCAAAGACGTAAATAAATTGTAATTCACATACACTGGGGAAGGCCAATAATGAATGCGACAGAAACATCATGCTTATGCCCCATAAGATGTTTATACCAGTTACATTCAGCTTTAACTCGATTTAATCAATTCAATAGATGGTTTTTCTCTTAGTTATCAGTCAAAGACACTGAACCAAGCGTCGATCAAATCAGAGCTCGAAATAAAGCTCAAGCATAAATACCCATAGCTATTCGAGTTCTATTTTTCCGCAGAAAGTCTATTCATATGTGTACGGTATACTTCAATAAATGCTACTAATTAACAGAAAAAATCACAAGCAAACCCGAAACGATAGACATGGCTGAGTGTCAATAGTTTTTTTGGTATGATGGAAAAAGGAAGAAAGGAAAAATATCGAAAGGAAAAGAATAGTCACAACAGACCAATATAATAGAATGTTTAAAACATTCCTCTTTTGATTGGCTCGTGCCGTTAAATATGTTCATTCTTTAGGTGAAGATGTACGAATTGATTTTTCGTTATTTTAGATAATATGATGTCTACTCTTTCTAATACAATTTCATTCATTGTTTCTGAAAAAGGTAAAAAGATCTTGAATATGAGCAATTTCATCTTTAAATTGAATAAGACGAGTATAAAAAAAATATTATGGATGCTTAGGTCTACATTGAACTGTAACTGTACATACTGATCTTGATGATGTTATCTTAAAGATTAAACATGATCATTGTCATCCACCTGAAGCAGAAGAAATACAAATTCGAATATTCAAACAAACTGTAAAAGCACGTGCTATAAATGAAAGTACATATATCCCACAAATTTAGGACGAAGAAGTAGTACGAATCGATCTAT